TACCCTTCCTATCCTTCCTCTGCTTTACCAATTTTCTCAACACCTTCTCCTTCGGGGCCTTCTCCCGCTCGTCATCTCCGTCGGACCCACTACCAACCTTGCTCCCCTCATTCCCATCTTCCTTCTCCTTCTCTGCCTCCGCGGCCTTGCTAGCTTCCACCAAAGCCTTGGCCTTGGCCTCACCTTCTAACTTCTCTGCAGCCCTCCTTTCCTCCAAGGCCCTGGCCTCCTCTTCCAACCTCCACTGCTCCGCGGCCGCTGCCGCTGCCTTTGCCTTGGCCTCTGCCTCCTCTTGCTGTTTCTTCTCTGCGGCCTCCTGCTCCTCCCTCTCCTTCCTTGCTTTGGCCTCTGCAACCTTCCTCTCCTGCCCCAATTTTTTCTCTTGCCGTTCCAACTCCAGAGCCCGCCTCTTTTCCTCCTTTTGTTTCTGCGCTTTCCAGGCCTCATGAGCCTCCGCGGCATCCTCCCTAGCTTTCTCCGCGGCGTCCCGCTCGTCATAAAAGGCTTCCAGGTCTTCAGGCCGAATATCTTCGGGCGTCGGGGCAGGCTCGTACGGTTCAGGCGTCACAGAAACACGGTACTCAATGGTTGACGACATGATGAACGACGAGGACGAAATTCAGAAAATAGAGGAGATGGTGGTGGTAGAAAGCTAAGAGGTGAAAAGCCACGTGACCAACCTGAAAAAATTCCACGCGGTCACACCCGGCCATCAGGATCTGCGTCCTTGAGGGCAAGAACGCTAAGGGGGGGATACTGTAACGAGCATGCCGACGGAAACCCGACCTCCACTCAATCCAACAAACCACAGCCCGGAATCCATAGATTCCCAGTTTCTATTTCATATTCCTTTTCATATTCCTTTTTATATTTCACTTCTCCATTACAATTTATCAATAGCCTGACATCGGTAGCGAACATGTCATCGGACCCCATCGGCTACCGACCGGTAGAATACATCCTCCGACAACCCTAGAATGTAGACCACTCCGAGTAGGAACTAGATTGGACTCCTAACTAGTATATAAGCCTTAGAATTACACTGTAGATACTCAGTTCGAATATCAACTTGGTTCAGCCCAATCTCTCTCTCTCTGACTCTAAGTTTAACTCTCGTTCTCCAGTCCACGGAACTCCGATCCGTTGGACTTATCTCTTACCTCATCTCTGCCACCCCGTGGACTTCCGTCTGTACCCATCTTAGGGCTTCAGCTCAGGGGTGACATTGCTAATAGCTTTGCCTATGCCCAACGCATCCCATGGCATTCCGCTATGTGCACTTACTGCCGCAATCCTATTGGCACAATCCTAACATCATCCTATACTAATGCCCAGTGAAAAGGATTGTAACAATGGTTGTCAATGAAGCATTTGGTGCATTGAACAGGGTACTTGTAGCAATCGTGACAAGTGATGATGCAGTTACCCCATTCACAAGGACACAGTGAACCCATACGTCAATCATATTTACGGGCAAAATAGTAGTCATGCAGGAGTGGATGCTTTTCATTGAACTTGCGCATTCTCTGACTCTGCTGGAATTTTATCTTTAGGAGCATCTGGGGAAGGTGGTGGAGGGTGTGAAGGCAGTGGGGGTGGGCATTTCACTGCTATAGATTTTGCAGGCAAAGACACAATCCTGCTAGATTCACCACAGGGACCAGTCACCAGCACACTGGATGTTGAGATCATTGTAATGCGGCCATCTAGTTTGCTCTTGAGCTGAGTGATGCATGCTTCCCATGCCATGGTAGGAGCTGTTGACTATTGAGAAGATCAAACAGGGAAATTTGAGTGACAAACAATAGAAACTTACCCTTGGCTTGAACTGGTGGCATTTCTCCAGCCTCCTCTGGTAACAATAGTGGCAAAAAAAAAAAGACTCAAAGATAACAGTATGGTGAATATCTCTGGGATAAGACGATGTAAATCTACAAATGACTAATAGTAGTACCAATAGTCATAAATGTATATACAAAAAACAAACTTGAAATATATGCATAAAGTCAGGGAGAGTACAGCAGAGAGAAAGAACTACGCAATGATCATGGCAACATGATCAGCCCAATCTGCCATCACTAAAACACCATCCCTGCACAATGTGAGAGCTGCTCCCTCTTTGACAGCAAAAGGCTCATACCATGAGCATGGCTGCCACTGGTGTTCCACAGGTATATATCAACTGAACATTCTGGTTTTCTCTATTCCTGCAGCTCTGAGAATTGCATGGCAGCTTTGCAGATGGACTTGGCCACTGTGAGCTGGAATTACGACATGGAGTGGAGCATTGTCATTCTGCAAAACAGTAAGTTTATACATTGTATTCAATACACATATAGCACATACATCAAGCCAGCAGATAACCTCAATGAAGAAGTCATTGGTGTTCACCTCATAGGGTTCCTCCAGACGCAAAAGTGCAGAGAAAGGCTGGGGTACATGTTGAGATTCTACGGTGCCATGATGTACAGGGGTAGGTGAGGGAGAAGACAAATAGCGCATTGGAGACTTCCATATGGATCACTGACCATGACCTCATATCATCGTACTGGATCCCAAAGATGGGGAAGACGAAGTGATCTGGGAAGACACACTCGACACCCCAGGGGTAGTCCTTGGTCGAGGATGAATGGTGTGTTGTAACGCCATCAAATCCTGGATTTTGGGGTTCTGCCACAATGTGATTAGAGGCAGGCATAGTGAAAGAAAGGCGTGGATTTTGTGCACCATGCACTGGAACTTATAAGTAACTCAGTCACCATGGAGATAGGATCATGTACCATTTGCTGCCATCTACCAAAATCATGGAACGAGGAATCGTCCAGTGCAGATACATACTTTTTGACTCTAATGTAAATGTTGACGTGACCCTGACATCCTTTTCCCATGCAAAACAAGGGGTTGAACGTCGGTTCCAGAGGCATCATTGGCCCCAGCTGCTCATGCAGCAGGTCGTTGATTTCTGCATGTTGGTCTTTGACGTTTAAGCAATGTGGTGTAGTACTTGCATGGATGGGTGGCATGTTGTCAGTGCAGCAGGGGAGGGGATAATATGGGCAACGACTGAGATGGCTGGCATTAAAATATAGTGAGTCAGACAATAAAACAGCCAATGAGACCCGAACCACATACCAGCATTGTTCTTGACAAATTCTAAAGCCAATTTGATGGCACAGCGTTGGGATACTGACAACAATGCTACGCATCCATGGTAATGAGTGCTGTCTGGTTTTTAAACAATGTGGGAGGCACAATTCTACAGGAAAACTGGCAGAAGGAGTAGGTTGGCAAAAGCGAAGAGTGATGTTTCTGAAGGTTAGCCTGGGAACATTGTCTTGTGTGTGTAGGCAGGCGACTTCTGATGACAGAGTCATCTAGCCAGCGCTGGATGAGGCTGACTACTTTGAGGCCTATGTCTGGGATCCTGGCTTTGTCAGAGGAGTGGGCGAACACGTTAGGAAAGGTATGTAATGTAATATGGGCATGGGCAGTGTAGGAGGTTATTTTGGTGCATTAGAAGCTGGATTTTCTATATTAGAAAGTGTTAGCTAGCCCCTTAGAGAATCCTAGGAATGTACGATCAGAGAACCCATGACAACTAATATTTGAACGAGGATAGTAGGGTGTGTTCATAGTGTTTGCCAGTGATCTATGAATGTGTCAGTGGTCAAACAGCAGGATATAACATAAAAACATCAAGGATCTTACTGTCAAAATACACCTGAATAGGAGAGATGAATGGCTGATAAATGGGGTTGGAGAAAGGCACGCAGCCATCAAATCCCTGGTAGTGGTCCACAATCCATGCCCTGACTACAAAGGTAATGACTACACATATTCGTCAAAGTGATGAAGAAGCATCGTAGGAGTAAAACTTACTACGAAGATGTCAGATCAAATTCCACTGAATTCAATTTGACATGGATGCTTGATATCCTGCAAGGAACAGCGTCAGCAGCATAAAACAAAGGATTTGACAAATGAGCACATATGCCTTCCCTCTCATCTTTCACTTATGTTCTAGATACCACCAACATATTCATCCCCCTAGCACAACTCAAGCGTCATGTCAGAATACTGGAAGGGCCACTCTACATTCGGTGAAGCGACGAGACAGTGGGGGTAAAGAGGATGTGCCAGTGATGACAAGGTGCATGCATCCCTTAACTCGAAGAAGGGGTGGGTCTTGCATCTGATTGGCAGATTGTCATCCTGTCAGGTGAGGGAGCCTTCTTAACTCAATCTACTTCTGCCCTCCCCTCATCATCATCTTTGCGTACTCCATGCCAGCCAGAAAATATATTGTCTCATCGAAAGTTCGACTCCCAGTCAGCTGAAAGTGCTATCGCAGTCACTGTATTCATGTTCAAGTTGTTGGATTTGCAAGCAGGAGCTCCGTCGTATCCCGTCAGCCGAGCTATATACCCCTTTATGTTGGGATGGACTTGGTTACCGTTATATACTAACTACGGACTGTCGGACACCCTCACCGCATTTCTGCTTATCACTACGCTGTGTGAGGGTGAGTATCTGTTCATATTACTTCGTTTACCTTACTGATTGGTACCTATAGTCTACAATATAGCTAACAGTGTATACTATTAGGTACAGTGAATTACCACCACGTTTCTGCTTATCGCTACGCTGTGTGAGGTCTACAATATAGCTAACAGTGTATACTATTAGGTCCTACGAACGAACGCGTGTCACTTTCTTAGAGGTTATACGGCCCTGAGAATTACTCTATCCTTCATACCAATGACTTCTGCCATTGCTGCCTTGACTACGGCCCTGCCTGTCGAATGTCCCCACATTGAACACATTCCAGTGATAACTGGTCCATCTTCTACCTCCATGTTTTCCACTGGTGTCCAAGCCAAAGGGAAATGGGACCACTTCGATGGATCCAAGCCCCGACCCTGTTCTCTCTGCCCCCACCACTGCTCTGGTCAATGAGCTGGATGAATGGGAGAAAGACGAGGCTGTAGCCAAGAACCTCCTGCTCTCGAAGATCCCTGACTCAGTCGCTATGAAGATCCAGCATCTTCCCACAGTCGCTGTCACCTGGGCAAAAATTGAAAAGGAGTTCACCGATAAGAGCGGCTACGCACAGACCTGACCTTCGGCAGCAGTTTTTGGAGTCGCGTTGCCCACCCAAAGGCAATGTCCATGAGTTTCTTGATGGCCTGTCAACGAAACGGGAGTCATTAGCTTCTGTCAGGTGTTGTCATCAAGGAGAAGGATTACCGCTCAACTGATTCTCACCTCTATCCCCCCCTATCTTGCCAAGCATGCATCGACTCTCCTCACAGCAGCAAAACTCTTCAGTTCCACGAAGGAAGTCGATCCTGAGAACCTGATCCAAGCCATTTCCAAGGAATATGACAGGCTGGAGCGCGAGCGAGCCAAGTGCAGCCATCAGTCTGGAAAGGGGAAGGACTCAGAGCAAGACGAAGCCATGTCTGTATCCTTGAGCTCAGGCAGTGGCAAGAAGGGCAAGAAACCCGGCAGGAAACTGTGCTGGGGGTGTGGGAAGGAGGGACACTTTAAAAATAAATGCCCTGAGAAGAAGTCATCAGATAGTGATGGAAAGGCTTCTGGATTCGAAGGGAGAAATAGCCAACGTGGCCGAGGAATCATCGGATTCAGACTGGGAAGCCGGCGGTGCATTCGGAGTTGATGATGCTAGTGACATGCCATCACTGGCTACGGTCTCTGAGTCAGATGAGTCTGAAGTTGAGGGCTTGTCAGAGGACTTGGGGGATGAAGAAGATGGTGCTGACCTTTTTTCGGAGGTCAGCGATGAGTCGTGGGATGAGCTGAGCAGTGTGTTGTCCTCAGATGTTGACTGGAGTGATGTAAACTCCTTTGTCGATGGGGAATCGGGTGCCACATCTGGCATGCTGACTTTGGAGGAGGTATCTGCTTCTGACGAGTCAGTTGCAGCTGTTATCAACATGGCAAACTCACCTGATGACCGAGTTCAAACTGAACTCTACGACTCTGGCTGTACACGCCATATTTCCCCCTACTGTGAGGATTTCAACTCGTTCCAGTCTGTCCCGCCCAAGGCATTCCGTGCTGCAAACACCAAAAATTTTCTGCAGCCGGAAAGGGCGAGATGAGCATTGATGTGCCAAACGGCGCAAATGCGAGCAACATGCAACTCACTGAGGTCATGTACTCTCCCGAAGTTGGCTATACACTCATATCAGTTGGCCTGACTTGATGATCTTGGTTTCGAGTTAACTTTTGGTCACGGAAAATGCACTATCCGCGCACCAGATGGGAAGGTAGTTGGGGTTGTCCCCAAGGATGATGGTGGCCTATATCGGGTTCATCATGAGGGAGATTCTGCTGGGGCAGCTGAGGAGGTGCTTACCTTGGACCAATTGCACCGCTGTATGGGTCACATTTCACCTGAAGTTGCTCGTCGTCTGGTTGAGAAGGGCTTTGTGATGGGGATAAAGCTTGACAAGTCATCTGGGGAACCACAGTTCTGCAAGTCATGTATCTATGCCAAGGCTACACGAAAGCCGGTATCCAAGGCTCGAGGGGGAGAATGCGCAACCGAAATCGGAGGCAAAATTCACTCTGATTTATGGGGACCTGCACCTGTGGAATCCCTACGTAAATGCTGTTACTTCATCTCATCATTCATTGATGACAGCACCCGTTGGGCTTACCTTGAGTTCTTACGCCAGAAGAGCGAGGCTTTCACAGCATACAAGGCCTATGAAGCTCGCATCCGCACCCAGCATGAACGCCCTGTAAAAATCCTCCATTCAGACTGTGGAGGTGAATACGTCAATAAGGCATTTACCTTGCATCTCAAGAATGCCGGCACTGCGAGGAAGATGACTGTGCATGATACACCACAGCACAACGGGGTAGCTGAAAGGTACAATCGCACAGTTATTGAGAAGGTCAGGGCTATGCTGCATTCAAGCGGCTTACCTCGCTTCTTGTGGGCTGAGGCAGTTCGCCATGCTGTGTGGGTTCTTAACAGAACATCGACAAAGGCCCTGGATGGCAAGACACCTTATGAGGCAGTTACTGGGAAGAAGCCAAACCTAAAAGGGTTACGGGAATGGGGAGAGAAGTGCTGGGTATGCCTGGAGACTAAGGCTATGAAGCTGGGTGGCCGTGTATGGGAGGGTTCGGTGGATCGGGTTTGATGAAACAAGCAATGGATCCTGCATCTACTGGCCAGAGAGCAAAACGGTGTCCATCGAGCGAAACGTCTATTTTGACAAATCTCATGCCCCTGCTAACGATCTCAAGGGGGAGGAAGATATTGAGTTACGCGAGATCCCGTCAACACCAAAAGCTCAACCCAACCTGCCTACTGCGAAACCACCACAGACGACACCTAACCCTGAAGCCCAGCCTACTGTTCAACCCATAGTTGAAGAAACCCGTTCCCGACGCACTCGAAAGCCTAGCCAGTGGGTTGTTATGGTTTATCCTTTTTCTTTTCTTTTCTTTTCTTTTCTTACACATCTCACTTATGCTACATGCTTCTCTCGTACGATCGCAATGGACTCATTCTCACAGTACTATTAATAGCTTATCCCCATGTATTTAAGTAGAGCCTCAGCTGGTCTAAAACCCAGCTTCGGCTAAGGTTTATTCTACCCAACTCAAAGCTCCCTGCTCCGCGACTATCTAAGTCCCCAATCGACTTCTATTATCTCCTTTGACCTCTAAGAGTATCGTCCACCGAAGTGTGAGTGGCGATCCTTAGTTGATCTGAGTCGATTATAGTTGGTTGTTGACATTTAGCCGAAGCTCGACACTTCGTTGCTCGACGTCGTATGTTGCCCAACATTATCCTAACCCTACTCTTCCTTGCGGTGCTGGGTTGGGTAGTGCCTTTTATACTGCGCGACCCGATCCTTCTGGTTTTGATCACCATCCTATGGGTGTTCATTCTGCACCACTTCATCCCCGCACCAATTATTGCGGCTCTGCTCTTTGTAGCCTGGACTGGTTACTTGAGAATCTGAGCACTTTCCACCCGATACCCTTCAAACTGACGCCATTCGTTGTCATCGTTCAAACCATCACGATCTCAGCCATCATCGTGCTGATCACGACAAGCGAACTCTACCCGGTCCTAACAGTTGCATGGTTAATCGTAACCGTCGGACTTTACGAAGGATAGACCAACATACAGATGCCCTTGTCCGACGCCATTCCCGCCATCTCCGCCGTTTTTATACTCTTTTTCTTATCCATCTTTTTATACCAGGTACATCGGTGCTGCCGCCAACAGAGGAGGGTCCATGCTCAGTTACCCTTCCATTACGTGCCCAGCATGCCAGCATACCCCCCTCCAATAATCTTTATCCCTGTGGCCTCACAACAAACTCTACACGATGGCCAACCCATCACGCCCAGGGGACCTGGAGAGTCCCTTTACGGATCGTCGCGATCCAGCTTGCGATCCTCTGAGTCGAGCACCGACTCCTACAGAAGCGCCACCGCCGAGTCAGTTGACTCTGTCGACATCACCGATACCCGGGGTGTATTCCTCGACCGAGGAGACTCGCCCCTACCAGGTCTCCTCGACCAGTCTCCAGTTGAAGACAAGTCAAGTACCGATGGAGCCAGAGGACAAAGCAATGGGTCTGTGGACGAGGGCAAAGAAAGCGCTGACACCGAGTTCGAAGGGGATGAGCTCACCGACCTCGAAAGGATCCGACTTGAAGACCTCCTCGGCGACCTCTACCCAGATGAGGAGGAAGATGCAACCTATACTGGAGACAACTGGGGTGGACGTTCCCAGACGAGGTGGACAGACGCTGACTGGAACAGCAAAAGAAGGAGGTACCAGGAACGTACCACAGGAGATGACTACAACGAAGATTCCGGAGAGCTTGCCCTTGGGGCCTCCGCCGCGACTACCGCCCGTACAGATGGAACAAGGACCGTTCCAGCTTCCTGGCCACCTAACAGGGGGGAGCCAGTCGCCTGGTACCCTCGCACAAGCTGGGTCTACACAGACATCAGGGAAGAAGCTCCTGTGGCCGGAAACGCACCCAGCAGGCACGAGCCTGATCTCCCCTGTGAAGCGCTCACGATCAATCCACTCCCTCCCGCCGTCTCCTCGAACGAGCAGGAGGATAGGGAGCTTCCCTGACTACGACACCGTGGAACTTGGAGCAATTGCCGGGGCTGGAGACCTCACCCAAGTCCCCGATTTCACCCCGTCGGTCGCAAGTCGAGCATTCGCCGACCCCATCCCTCTCAACCAGCGTCCATGGCCCCTTCTCTACCACACGCTCATCGAGTCCCTCCGACTCTCTCGAGATGCCCAGCTCACCCCAGAAGTCCAGGCCCGAATGGACAGAGCAAGAGCACATGACGCACGCATCCGTCGAGCAGAGATCGATGCCCTCCATGGACCCGATGGCCTCTGGGACCTCCCTCTCGAGCCCGACGCCACCCCTGCCGAGGTCGAGCGAAGAATGAGCATGGCAGCCCTCCGATACTCAGGAGCCATTCAGCGAGCAGGAACCAACCTGGAGGCAAGGAGAAGAGCCTGGAACTCCTACCAGGCTGAGATCAGCGATCTGGACTCGGACATCGGACGATGGAGGAGAAACAGGGAGATCGACCGCCTCGCCCGAGAGAGGGAGGCGACAGAGGATGCCCAAACCAGAGCCTCGAACAGACGGTGATGGAGGCGGTAAAGGAGATCCTCGAAAATAGGGTGACGGCAAGACCCGCCATCTTCGACTTACTCCCGTGGCATGGATTATACGAAATCATGATGGAAGACATGGAAAAGGACCCCCAATGGCTTTTCACCGAAGCCGGGGAAGACTATCGACACGCTAAGTACATGGGAGATGTATACCTGATGAAGAACATACTGGAAGTAGAAACGTGGCACCGGGCGGCAATTATCTGGAACCAGGTTCACCCAGAGATCAGCCAGCCTGGGTGCGAACCCTACCGACGCCCTCAGCCGATGCCCCACCCTCTCGAGACCATGGACTTCGCCGCGGGCAGAGGAGGAGATGATAATGGACACGCCGACCAAGACGAAGGGGCGGGACCCTCTCGCGTGGACAAGGGTAAAGGGTCGACAGTACCTCCTGTGCCACCTTC